CCTAGAATATGTCCACAAGACCTATGAACCATAAATAGTAAGTGTCACGTGCAACGTAAACTGTCATGTGACCATGAAGCGCTGAAACTGTAACACAAGCTCCCTTTTCTAACTGGCAAGACCCTTGATGACCACTCACCAAACTAACCCATCATCGTCCTCCGCGGACACCTACATAGTCATAGACTGGGATGGTGGTGTGGGGTATGACCTCCCAGCCATCGTCGAGATCCTCTTGGGGCTGAGGATAGAACTCGGTGGGTGCCCAATGCGAGATGGATCCGTCTTCATAGAGGACTGCCTTCAGTGCTTCGACACCATCGGTAAGCCATCCAGGCCACTCGATCATGGCAACGAGGGGTTGAAAGATGACTGGCATAAACTCACAAGGTGTCTTGGTGTCTCCACAGTGGACTTGATCGGAGAATGTCCTGAATAGTTTGACCTCGTATTGTTCAACGCCTTCTTCCTTGCCTGCGAAATGAACACTGATGATGCCTGTTCAGTTAGGTGTTGGATACCAATCGTGCATGCCTGGAATGGGTGGTGGATAGAGAAGAGTGACCCATTGACTGAAGACGCGATGAGGTGAGTCTTCCGAGTAGAGGTGCCAAGTGACCTTCTGATTGTCCCAAGTGAATACGAAGGCATGGAAGGTGGCGAAGTCACCCGTGCCTGTGCAATGAACATAGAGTCGATGGCCATCGCATTCCATGAGGAATGTTAGTGGCATGGTGATGAAGACATCGTAGGGTGATGCTACGTCTGGGGTGATGAGCGATACCTGTCCTGCCACTGGGTTGCTCGAAGACTTGACTGTTCAAGCGTACCTGATCTGCTCCCCGATGGTGTCAGCTGGTGCAGGTTGTGATCCATCCTTGGGTGCATCATTGTAGTTGTACGTGGTGCTGTCGTGGTGGGGGTAGCCAGGTCATTGATCGTCGGCATTCCTTGCCTGTTCATCGTCTTCACCCCAAGCTCTCCCTGTCGTCCAAGAGCCTCCCATTGTCCAACGACCCATTGCATCTCTGTCATCTCCCCAGCATGCACTTCTCCATGAGTCGGCCAGTGCTTCATCACTAAGGTTGTTCAGAAGCGGGAGTTCATCTTCATCGCTGTCTAGAAGTAGTCCTGGCTCCGATGCGCTGCGAGTGATGGTGGTGGTGACATGAATGTTGAGTGACATTGATGGAGGTGATAGAGCGGGGTGGTTTTCTTTATCCCAAGGATAGATTTCCTCGTAGAGTTCCCACTCGAGTAGGAGGAGGCAATGGTCCAGTAGGGGGAAAGGGGGACTGCTACTTATACCTTCGAGCAGTCATTCCTCTTCTTCGTACCAGTCCATGATGTGAATGTTCGCCATTCCTGTGCATTCTTCTGCTGGTATTGTCATTGTTCTTGATACGGTACCGTGTATGACACTGAATACATCCAAAGCGAATGAGAGTGCTGCCAGTAAGATATCAAAGTGTAGCAGATGATCTAGAGCATACGATGGTGGGAGGATTCCTACTGGAAGCTCGATGTAGATGGCTGTTAGGATAGTCCGGCATCGATCTGGCTCTAGCCAGGGTAGGTGGAGTTCCTCCGTTAGGTACATTGGGTAATTCATTCTCATGAATGTTCCCCATGTTCTGTCTAGGTCGATATTGACGTTGTCCTCTAGCGTTACCTTCGGCTTGTCCGTTTGGAATGGGAATGGGTAAGGGATTCTGATTAGCCCACTGGGGCGAGAGGTTAGATATGGCTGTCGTCGAGTTGACCTGAAGTCGTCCAGGAGGTGGACTTCGTGGACGTCATCCGCTCTTTGGATGAGATGGTCCATCATGGTTTGGATGGGTCGTATTAAACTCGACGTTGGTATGGTCGAAGTCAGCAAGATCCTCGATGGTGAATCCAGCCCCTCTGATAGTGAGATAGACTCCGAGCTGTTGGAAGACCTGGTAGCAATGGTTGTGAGAGGAGTGGAATTTGATGTCTTTGAGAACTTCGATAAGATGGATAAAAGTGGTGATAGCAGATTCGAGAAACTCAGGATGTTGCACAGGCATCGGGGCATGGACTGAGGGTTCAGGCCAAGTTGTGCTCCCTTTTATACTCATCCAGTAGCTCACTTGCATTGCCTATTTCTGTCTCCTTTACCCACGACCTTTTGCTGAGTGGATATCCAGCCCATTTTATCAAATATTCATTTTTGCTGTGCCGTAGTCAGTGTCCGATTATAGACTCGATTTCAAATTCTTCCTCTCCTTCGATAAGATCTGGAGGCAGTGTTGAATAACTTTCCCCATGTGTACTGGTCTGCCGATATGGCGTAAGCAACGCAGCATGGAACACTGGATGGATCTTCCATGTCGCAGGAAGGTCTAACGTGAACGAGAGAGGTCCCAGAACCTCCTTAATCCTGAATGGTCCTTCTCGCTTCAATGCTAGCTTGTTCGATTTGTAAGGCCTTTTCAAATTGGTGGCTTTCAGCCAAACCTTGTCTCCTTTCTTGAACTCGGAGATCCTCCTTTGATCCTGGTGGATACACGGGCTTTTGCCTTGACAATTCCTTCTGTGGCCTCCTTGGGGACCATGCTAAGAAGTTTGAGTCTTGCATCTATGTCGGGGATCTCGTCCTGAGGAAACAGTTCTGGCATTCCTCGGGGTTCGTAGCCATACCATATTTCAAATGGTGACTTCTTCGTCACTGAATGAGTATGAAGATTGTGCGCGAACTCTGCTTCGGATAGAAATTGATTCCATCGATGCGGTTGCTCGGCACAATACATTTGAAGATAGGTTTCCAATTCTTGATTCATTCATTCCGTTTCACCATCTGTCTGTGGATGATAGGCTGTGCTCATAGCCGACTTGATCTTGAGGGCAGTGCACAGTGCTTGGAATACTTTGGATGCGAATTGTGTTTCACGGTCAGAGATGATCTTGTCAGGTAGCCCAAAGCGTTTCTAAACTTGTCATCTGAATAGCTCAGTGGTTTCTGAAGCAGTGATCGTCTTCTTGCAGGGACATAGAATTACCCCCTTACTAAGCCCATGGTCTACCATGACCATTATTGAATCGAAGCCTTCGCTTTTTGGTAGATCTGTAATAAAATCCACACTAACTTGCTTGAACGGTAGCGCATTGGACGAAGGCCCGATGGGCTGTAGTGGAACTTTGACCTTGTTTCGAACAGCTTTGGATTGCTGACATGTGGTGCATCCATTGACGTAGCTTTAGATGAAGTGATACATTCCTGGCCACCAGAAGTCCTTGCGCACTAGTTGATGTGTAACCCAGATTCCTGGATGACCATGTGGATTATCGTCGAACAATTTCTTTCTTTAAAGCTGTATTGTTTGGGACATATACGCATCCATGGATGGTGATTAAACTGTTGCCAGCATCCTTGATGTCGTCCTTTGTCATTCCTCATGGGACTGGAAGTTTCTCCATTAGGCCGTCTTTGTATGCAAGTACCGATGGGTCTTTTGTTAGTACTTGTCGGATTTGTTCCGCCATATTGGTATCGATAGCACCAATAAAGAGATCGTCTGGTAGCAGAATTGCAGGTGACTTGTTGTCCTGTCGATTGTCTAATTTGGACAACCGTGAAAGCGTGTCTGCTTGCACCATTTGTCGTCCTGGCGTATGGACAATCTTGTAATTGAACATAGACAAGAACCCGAAGTATTCCAGCAAGAGCCTTAGTTGATTCGGGAGCAAAAGAAATGTTCATCAATGAATCATTTGCGAAGAAAGCAGGACTCCATCTTCTCAAATCACAGAAGGAAGTCAAGATTCGCAGTGTCGATGGAAGTCCCATCAACTCTACAAACCAACGATTCAAAGGAACTGTTCATGCAGGAACGTACGAATGGAATGATGACTTCCTTGTCATCGACTTAGAAAAAGAAGATGTGATCATTGGCAATACATGGCTTCATGATCACAACCCAATTTTCAACTGGCAAACGGGTGAAGTCAAGGTCCGTCAATATGTAGAAGACATACCAAATGAGGAACCATGGCCTTTCAAAGACAGAAACACTGTTCGTCTTCCAATCACCAAAAGGGAGAAAGCCAAAGCCAAGCGAACCTTGAGAAGGATCGATTGGTCTGATGTTGATCCCGCACCAGATGAAGCAGGAACTGTTGATTCGGACCTCTTGCTTGCATACCTAAAAGGAGCACCATACTTGGAGGATCAGGAAATAGGAGAAAAAGAAGCTATTTTTGCCTATCAACCTGATACTGGCATACTCCAAGAAGTTATGCTCGAAGAAAAAGAACGTTGCTCGGCCGGAGAAAGGAAGATGCAGTATCTTGCACTGCGATGAACGAATGCCAAGAAAGATCCCCATCAAACAAGAAAGAAAGATGGAATCTTATGGAAGGCATCAAACAAGGCGCAGGAACTCACACAAAAGAAAGCACTCGAAGAAAAGAAGAACTCAAAGAAGAAAGTAACGATACCATCGTATCTTCTCAAGTACCAACGGATTTTCGAAGAAAAGGCATCGGAACAGTTACCACCGCATAGATCTTACGATCACAACATAGCCTTCAAGCAGGACTTTGTTCCTAGATGAGGAAAGGTCTATAACCTATCAAAACTGGAAGAAGAAGCTATGAATGTCTTTATCGACGAAAACCTTGCGAAAGGATATATTCGTCCTTCGCAATCCGCAATGGCATCACCTTTCTTCTTTGTAGGAAAGAAAGATGGCGGGTTACATCCATGCCAAGACTATCATTATGCGAACAAAGGAACAATTAAGGATGCCTATCCACTCTCACTTATATCGGACCTAATGGATCGACTCCGACATGCCAAGTATTTTGCGAAACTTGACATTCACGGAGCATATACCAATGTCCGAATCCGTCAAGGAGATGAGTGGAAGGCTGCCTTCATCACCAAGCATGGATTGTTCGAACCCACAGTCATGTTCTTCAGAATGTGCAATGCACCGGTGACCTTTCAGCGAATGATGAACGAAATATTCGCAGAAGAAATCACTGAAGGATGGTTACTATGCTATCTGGATGATATCCTGATCCTTGCCGAAAGCGAAAAGGAGTTGGAGAAGAAGCTTGAACGAGTCATTAAGAAGATGGTCGACAATGACCTCTATCTCAAGCTGGAGAAATGCATGTTCAAGACTACGCGCACTGAATTCCTAGGACGAGTGCTCCTCCCAGGACGACTTCAGATGGATCCAGCAAAAGTCACTGGGATCATCAAATGGGAAGCTCCAACTGGCATGAAAGGGGTACGAGCATTTCTAGGATTTGCCAACTTCTATCGAAAGTTCATTCGGAACTATTCTGAAATCGCAAGACCCTTAATTGATCTTACCAAGACCAAGGGCAGAAATGTGTTCCATTGGACAAGCAAAGAACAAGCTGCTTTTGACTATCTCAAAAATGAGTTCAGCAAGGCACCAATACTGGATATGCCAGACAAAGACAAGCCCTTTGTTATCAAAATGGATGCATCGGACTTCGCTACAGGAGCAGTCCTCATGCAGAAGGACGATAATGGTGATCTCCATGCCTGTGCATATTATTCCAAGTCGCTCTCCGACCCGGAACAAAATTATCAAATCTACAATAAGGAGCTTCTAGGAATCATCTGCGCACTCAAAGAATGGAGACACTATCTTGACAGAACAAAGGAGCCATTCCTCATACATACAGATCACAAGAATCTGATGTACTTTCAGCAACCACAGGACTTGAACCCAAGGCAGCGAAGATGGCAACTCTTCTTGTGCCATCGTAATCTTGGAAGACAATATTGAGGTATATTTCGCTTCCTCGTTTGATATCGCCTCGTATGATTACTTCCTCGGGGACCGTTTCTTTATCTGGGTGCCACGAGACCCCAACGTGCACCCAATTTCAAAATCCTCTAGATCGTCTTTCTCCATGGGTGGTGGATATTGGCGTGCATATTCATATCTGTCTGGATTGTCTCCGAATTCCAGAAGATTGTCGAGATGGGGCATCATCATGTTGTGTTTCTTAATACGGTC